TTTCGGGGGAGTAGCTTAGTATGAATCTGGATCCGAGCGTTACTCGGAGTGATAGGAGTAGCCAACAGTTTAGCAGGCATAGGCAATTGGTGCACTTGGACTCTCCTCCATACGCAGGAGTGAGTGAGGTGGATAAGCCAGCAGAGGCGCTCATCGATGACGCATCGCCGTCAAGTGTAGGCGGGGCAGCACTCAGAGGATTTGCAGATGAATTGCCGGACAGTTCCGGGGCAGCAGCCGACGCGCGCGCACAAGAACCAAGCGATATGGAACAGGGACAGGGCGGCGGAGCCAAGTCCGCACTGCCGAGCGAGATACGTTCCGCTATAGACCTGGCATTAGCGCAGGCGCATGAGACGTATTGCGCGTCTCTAGCATCCGAGGTGCAATCCATCCCAATGCAGGCTAGCATGTTGTCCTTTATGCGGGAAATTAATGAGGCGGTGGCGGTGCTCAAAAAGGAAAACACTCATAGGGCACCAGCAGCGGCTACCCAGGCGACTACCAGATGGCCAGAGCAGTCGCCCATATCTACGCGGTGCCAGGATGGTGGCACCAACTCACCTGTTTGTGGATAACCGCATATTAGAGGCGGAGCAACGGGCACACTTGGAGCAAGGGCAGATCCCGGCTGACCCGTGGGAGAGGAATCTGATTGCGGACGCTAGTAGGCCGTATAGGCGGACTACCTTGGCGATCACAGGCCAGAGATAGTGCACATTAGGAAGTGGGGCCTGGTCTTTGAGAGCGAGTTCAAAAGCATGCCTGTGGCTGAATTTATTTTCCGCCTGGAGCACTTGCAGTCAGGGAATCAGGTGCCATGGTCTGACGTGCTGCGTGACTTCCATTGTCTGGAAGGGCGAAGGATTGGTATTGGATGTACATACGCACCTCTGGAGTACCCGATTGGCCGAGTTTCCGATATGGCCTGCAGCAGCAGTTCCAAACTCGATGCTCCGAGTTTGAGAGAGAGCAGGAGCTTAGGCAGTAGTTTTCGGATTACGACCTTCTCAAGGTGATAAAAATGAACATCAGTGAAACGGTATCGCAGGTTATATATCCGATGCACATCACCAACCTGCAAAAGTTGAGGGAGGACTGCCAAGACGCCGAGAAGATTCTGGCACCGCATTGGGCCGCATGAAGCTGGTGGGAGCCGGCCACATCTGAAGTGCTGGAATTGCGCACAGTCGGGGCATACATATTTTGACTGAGAGGCCGCTGTGCGCAATGTATAAGTGTGGCCAGCCAGGCGTGGTGTTACGGAGTGGCCAAAGTGCCGTCCGGGAAACTCGGAGAGGATTCTGACGCAGCCAGAGGAGTCGCACTCTCGTTAAACGATAAGCCGCGTACCTCCGACAACACCATAGTAGAAATAGGAATTAGTAGCGATAAGAATAACACTAATAGTCAAATTTACTAACGCATATATAAAGTTAATCAGGCAGTCCTACCGGAAAAAGTATGGTCACAGTGTAAACCCTTGGACCAGCGGCAGCGCGAGTATGAAGTAGCCAGAAGTCGCATATTTGGTGATCAGCACGAGCTGGATGCGGGCAGTGCGTTTAGAGTATCTCTGAGAGCGCGTAGAAGGCACAGAGAGCGCAAGCAGTGCAGGACCTAGGACCCACCAGCCCGAAACCAGATCCGCTGTGAAAACAGGAGGAGGCGCGCCGCATCGCATCATTGGCAGCGTGAAGGCCCGCGTGCAGTAAAATGGAACGGAATTGGACATGGTATTCCACATTTGCCCATCATTATGCCAACCGCTTTATCTGCGCGTAGATTTTTGGCGCATGCTCGGTTTAGCTCCGGATGTGATCCCGGCTGAAGGCGAGGGTAGTCACGTGGCTGAATTGGATGAGGAGTGTTTGACAAAGAGCACACCGACGGAGCCGGAGGCGTGGCAGAGGAACTACAGCGAGTCGTGGCCCAATTCAGGTCCTTCGAGGAGCACGGTCTGGGTAGGACACCAGTGAAGCAACACCACATTCAGTTGATGGAGGGCGCACTGCCAGTGAAGGAGCGTTTTTATCCAGTGTCCACTGTACCACTTTAAGGTCATGCCGTTTGGGCTGTGCAATGCGGCGCAGCGCCTCTGCCGCGTGTTGGATAACGTGATTCCCCAGTGTTTGAGATACCATGTCTTCGTATACCTGGACGACCTCCTCATTTTATCCAGAACATTTGCCGAGCATTGCAAAGTGCCACGCTACGCCTACGCTGTACCACGATGATTGCCTGATTACCAGCACTTACTTGATTTGGTCTGGTACTCGTCGAGTCGTACGTCTGCTTCCATGGGTGGTCGCCGGAGAAGAGGCACGTCTGCCCGGGTTCGCGGTACACGGAAGAAGGGATCGAGCTTCAGTTCTCACCTTGGCTTGTAGCTTCGTGGGGTGTGACCATTTCTCTCCTACTTCAAAATACCTATCTAAGCGTGGGCGGCGATGCCACTTTGCTTGCCCTTTGTCCCTTTCAAAGGGTCACTGATTTAAAACTCTAATCGTGTGCAGCGTGGTGAAATACAATTGAATCTTAAGTCTAGTAACAGTGTAATTGGCAAATAACAATTGGTATAAAGGTACTTCAATAATGTAAAATAGTGTGTAATATTCAATCTTAGTGCTAGTAACATAATGTGCAATAGTAGTGGAATATAATAATTCTATTAATAATTTGTGAGGTAGAATTTCGCTGCGTTACACCCTCTCCTTTCTTCGGGGAGCCGGATTTATTGGACATTAATCGAAAGTATCTGACAGAAATTCTTGGACTAGAACTCCCTGATCCTTGGGCCTCATAAACGGCAGGCGTGGCCTCGTGTTCTTTAGCCACATCAGTAGCGTCGTCCCTGCAGTAGTAGTGGGCAATGGTGTTTTGGTCGGAGCTGCAGTCATGCGCACCGCGTTCGGTGCATCGCAACTCGCAGACCACTCTGAGCTGGGCAATGATGTGTTGGTCGGAGCTGCAGCCATGCGCACTGCGTTCTACGCATCGCAACTCGCAGGCCATCGTGTGCTGGGCAATGATGTGTTGGTCGGAGCTGCAGCCATCGCAACCCGCAGCGTTCGGAACTCGTGGCGGCGTACGTATAGCTGGAATTCAGGCAATGTATTTTCGTAGATGCGATCCAGTTCCTGAGCATCTGTGTATCTTTCATGGTGCATGAGTGCGCGCAATTATACAACGAAATCTTTAAAACTCTCCCCCTCCATTTGAAACAGAGTTCGTATTTCGTCTTCCAGGCGCTGAAAATAATTGAAAGGAAGACAAAAATTTAAAAATTCTTTACGAAATGTCACCCATGTAGCTGAATTAGGCGGGCGAGCGCGGGCGCCCAGATTCGCATCGTTTATCGTTCTTTTATGGCAATGCCACACTCCGAAGAAATAGGCTGGAGGGTGGCGAGAATCTTCAACTGACTGTAGACGAACAATCGCTTATTCTCGAACCGTTCAGTTAGGTTCTTCCAAGCGGAGGCGAAACCGTCGTTGGTTAGTGAAACAGCTTTTCAACCTCAGTCATCCGCGGATTGCGGAGGTACAATGCTGTGAAGAGGTCTCTAAACGTGGGCCACTTCTGGTAGTCGCCAGTGAACACCTTGGTGTCAACTGGCGGAAGGCTGCACTCCCTGAATTGAAGATCGGAAGCTGGAACAATGCTCTGAACGGACGCCCTATCAATCTGCTCAGTGAGTAGTGCGGCGCACCGCTCATAGACGGTATTACAGTGCACGTATTTGACCTCCATCGCTTGCATGTCGCTGGCACTGGACTCCAATTGATTCAGAGCGCGAAAGCAGCGCTCACGCTCCTGCCCGACCTTTTCCCACAGAGTACGGACTTGGTCTAACTCGCGCCTCGAACTTGCTCAGGTTATCACTAACCGAAATAAAGTCATTTAATGCCATTCTGATGCTTTGGAGAGGCAATCACTGGCTGACCAAGTGGTCGGTGTAGTCTTGACTGTGGCAGGCACCTTCACGGACAGCTGTGGCGAAAAACTGGTCTTCCTTGGAGCAGGAGACGAAACTGTTTTCAAGGACAACTGTGAAGTGCCTTTCTTGGAAGCAGACGGAGAAACTTTCTTAACAAGCGACATTGGTTTCGGACTAACCTTTTTTGATGCAGAAGGCAAGACGGTTTTCACAATAGACGGTATCGGAACCAAACTAGATTGTGTACCAGAAGAAGGAACGGCCAAATGTGTAGCAGTCGATGGACCGACCGATTGTTGGGAAGTGGACGGAGCGACCGATTGCTGGGAAGTGGATGGAATCACCAAATGCTTCTTCGTGTCCTCTTCACCTTCACTTGGCATACTAAGCTCTCACACGAGCGTGACAATGTGGGCCTACTTGAGGCGGATCGAATATGAGCACAAACGAAACGAGTGGCGTTTAGAACGACGCCTCTGCTTAGATTGTGTTCACGTTCAAATTTGGTTATTGAGCTGGAAGCGCTGAAATGTGGCACGGACGACTCGAGACAGAAATAAAAATTGCAACAAAGAACTTCTGCACTTGATCTCAAATCAGGAGAGATAAATAATGAAAAATACTGCAAAAAAAAGGACAGCAACTAAATTTGTTTTAGCTGGAAGCGCTGAAAACTTTCGGAAACAAATTGATGTCCGAAAGACAATAAATGTCGCCACCAATAACTCTCGAGGTAGTTTTGTAAAGTCAGTTGGAGGCATGGAAACGGTAACCGATTGTAGTCCTGGCTACTATTATGAGCAATTGGGAAAAAAACGCAGCAGCTAAAATATCCGGGCAGATAATTTTATTACTCCAACTGGAGGCGCTGAAAGGAAATAAACGCAACCAATAAATAAATTTATGTTTAATTTTATTTAATTACTGCTACGACAAAATAACTGCCGCCAGTAATAATTGGTTGTAGATTAATTAATTAAAAATTAATTCTTTAGTACTCGTGACCGTGACTCATATTTGGTCACACTGCAACCGGTTTTCAAGCAAGTGCGCATCACTTGTTTACGAGAAATGTGCAATTAAATTTTTTAAGCGAAGACGGAATTTTTCGTTCTTAATTGCACGTCGCCGCTGCCGCGAGATGTCGCACGGGCTGGAAGGAGTGCCAATAGGAGTATTGGAAAGCTGTTGGGAATCGTGGACTGACCAGGTATGTACTTGTATATATTTTAGGATTATATGTTAGTATAAATGTGTCAGTGTAAATATAAGCATATGTATGTGAATATATTTATTGTGGATGCAAGATATAAATAAAGTGTATTCGGATTTATATATAAGCATATGTGGACGTACATATGTTTATTGTGGATGGACAAAATAAATGTGAATATTTATGTAAGCATATGCGGACGTATGTTTATTGTGGATGCAAACGTATAGTGCAAGTTTATATTTGACGAATATTTCTTGTGTGTGGAAACATGCAAGTAAATAGGTATGTCAAAAATGTGTTTGTTGTATGTGGAAACATGCAAGTGTTTAGGGAGAAAATGTGTATGCGGTTGTATAAAAAACCATGCAAGTATATTTCTATGCTCAGGTTTGTTTTAACTGGACACTTGTTGCATGTATGTATGAATGTATGAAAGTTCGAGTACTAACGGAATAATTAGCTTTATGTTGCTAATTGTTGCACTTTTTTATAGTTGAGCTGACCAGCGCGGTACCGGCCGTAGACGAAAGGGGCCCTTGGATAAAGGGACGGAAAGCGGAATGCTGATTCCGTGGTGAGGGGTCGGCGGACAGACCAACAACGAAAGCAAAAAATGGCGTGAGTATCAAGCCGCAAGAAAGTTTTTTTTTATAATTCCTTTTTACTCCACTTTGGAGCTTAAGGCTTCTACAAGCGCTTTAAATCGAACTCTATTTCTGGCCGTCTGTCTAGCTGTGTCCCATGTGATGTTGTTATGGGATAATTCCTGAAGGGTGGTCCGTCGCCAGGTTATCTTAGGTCTGCCAACCCGTCTGCTTCCTTGGGGGTTCCAGTCTAGCGCCATTCTTACAATACTGTGTGGGTCCTTCCGCAGTGCGTGGCCAATATCCCGCATATAATTCTGAGGCATTTGTTTATAAATGCCTGCAGCTGTTGGATCATTTTTTGTGTGGTCAGCCACGTCTCGCTCCCATACATTAATGTGGATTTCACGCAGGCATTGAAAATTCGGAGTTTGGTTTTTCTGCTTAACTGTCCGCTTCTCCATATGCGATACAGTCTTCCGAATGTTGCTCGGGCTTTGGTAAGACAGCTCGATACATCTTCGTTCACGACACCATTGTTGGAGATAATGGTACCGAGGTATGGGAAGTTATCGACAAACTCGATTGGGTTCCCACATAAGTTGACATGTTCTTGGCTGGTTGAAGCCCATCGCTTTTGTTTTTGCCGTGTTTATTTCCAGCCCGTCTCGACTGGCTAATTCCACGAGGTCATCAGCTTTGGATTAGATATCACAGAGCCTGTGAGAGATCAGACAGATGTCGTCCGCATAGTCCAAGTCTTCAAGATGTCTGTTGAAGTTCCACGTGATGCCAAGCATTCGTGCTTTCAGGAATCGAACGCCAGGAGTATGCTGGGGCGAACGGACGTCGACTGCACGGAACGTGGAATGACTCAGGTGGTGCAGAACAAAAGATCCGGCTCGAAGAACAATGTTGGCGTGGGGCGATGGGGTTAAATTTCCAAAATCTCAAAAACAAGAAATAAAATGGCGGCAACTCAATTTTCAGTGGTACGTGCACTATACTTCTATTCATTTGCTATCATGTACTAACTTGACCTAATTACATTTGTATAGGCTTCACTAACGTGTGCAGGAGAGAGGATGCTGACGCCAGCAGCGCTCTGCTAGCAGATGTTGCTAGCCTACGACGAGTGTTGCTAGCAGAGCATTGCCACTTCAACAATGCATATATTATTGCTAAGGTTTAAAGCTTAAAACTGGTCATTCGTGCTTCATCTGCAGATGCCTTAAGGGAGTAGAAATATACTGGGTACATTCTATTATCATCCTGCTTTTGAAACAATATCGCACTAAAGCCTCTTGAACTTGCATCCGTATGAAGTTCAGTTTCCCGTTTCAGGCTGTAAATTGACAGAACTGGCGGTGTGGACAAAAAAGACTTTAATTTATCAAATGCTGCCATTTATGTTCCCTGCATTGGAAAAGGTACCTTTTTTTTTTAATAATTCTACTAGCAGCTTACAAATACTTGCGAATGATTGGACAAAACGCCGAAAGTACGAAAACAGCCCTATACAAGAATGCAACTCTCGTACATTTGTTGGCATTGGATAATTTTTTATTGCTTGTATGTGGTTGTCGTTCGGCAAAACTCCACTTCTGCTCACACCTAGGTATTTAATGGATTTTCTATAAAATGTACTCTTTTTTTCTTTTAATTTCTAATCCTTTCCCACTCAACCGGCGAAGCAATTTAGTCAGTGTATCAAAGTGTTCTGCTATACTTGTTGTTGCCACTACAATGCCATCCACAACGACCACAATTTTATAGTTTCGAACTAAATCATTTAAACTATTTGCAATAAATATTTGAAAAACTGAAGGGCCATTTTTTAATCCAAACGGCATTCTGAGAAACTCAAACTATCCCTGTGGAGTTACAAAGGCTGTACACTTAATTGAATCTTCGTCTACTCCTATTTGGTGAAATCCACTTTTAAGGTCAATCACCGAAAAGCACGTCTTTCCTTCCAAATATTCTAACGGCAGAGGAAAACTATCAAGCACAGTTAGCTTATTTAAGCATCTATAATCAACGCACCGAAGTATAATTTGAGATGCATACGGGGAGTTACTTGGCCTAATTATTCCTGCTACCATCAATTCCTCAATTATTTCTGACACCTTCCCCATATCATCTCATAAAATGAAAATCGTCTCTGACCAAAGCTAAAAGGGGTACTATTAGTTAATTGGATGCTTATTATAGCCTGTACCCAAAGGGTAAAAGGCTATACTAGTTTCGTGTGAATGTATGTAACAGGCAGAAGGAGACGTGGCAGACCCCTCAAGGTTTAGGTTAGATGCGGCAGCTAGGGTGAAGTACCTTGACACACTTAGGCCCTGAAGATTGGCCCATTGTTATACCGTGTGGACTGATCCAATTTCCAGTTTCCCGTGGTTAACTGCGTGTCTTTGCTTATATTACATCCATCCAGAAGCCTGGTTGAATTTGAAAATGTCCCTCGGTTTATTTTCAGATAATTCCCATAAGTCCGGGAAAGTGCTAGCCCCTAGAAAACGCTGTCTCGTCCTTAATAGAGCTGGGCAGTCGCAGAAGAGGTGGGTAACAGTTTCCTCCTCTTCTACGTCTTTACAACTTCTGCAGAAGTCGTTGTGATGGAGCCCCAGTCTGGCGGCTTGGTTGCCGACCAGCCAGTTCCCAGTGATAGCTCTTAATGTGGTTGAGCATTGGATTCTGCTTAAATTGCAGAGGTCTGAGGAGCGTTTTTTGTTGCGAATTGGCCACGTTAGACGCGTTATTCTGGAGTCTGAACCGGAGGTTCACATTTGATCTGCTACAGATTCAAAGTGGTTCCTGATAGTCTACAGCTGGCCATTGGTATACCGCCACTCCCCTTGTCCGGAAGGAGAGAGACAGTGGTACCATGTCTTGCCAGCTCATGTGCTGTTCAACTTCCCTCAATGTCCTTATGTCCTGGAACCCAAATGAGGTAAACAGAGAACTGTGCAGCCATCTCGTGAAGAGATTTGCGACAATTCTGCACTGACATCGAGTTCGATGTGATGGAGTTTAGGGATTTTATTGCCGCTATAGTATATACAGATTTCCGAGTATATACAGATTTCTCTGGTGTTTGCTGCTGAGAATTGCAGTGTGAGAAGAGCTTCCTTTATGGATAAAATTTCTGCCTAAAAACAAGACCCCACAAAGTATATATATTATTTATCAGGGTGACAATCCGAGTCGATATAGCCATGTCCATCTGTAGGTCCGTTTGTATGAACGCAAGGATCTCAGAAGGCACAAGAGCTAGAACTACCAAACTTGGTATCGAGGTTCCCCTATACACCCCCCCCCCCCACTCCCCAGCAATTCGTGTTTTTTCCATAACTCCCGTCATTCTTGGAAATTCGAACTTTCAATAGAGTTTTATATGCGTAAAGCTTGTATTTGCGAGTTTTTCTATATTTGTCACTTGTTCTTATCCGTCCACCAGCATCCGATAATGAAACTTACCTTCTTCACTGTTCTGCAATACAACGCATATGCAGTATGCTTAATGATAGAGACTATATGATCGTTTTTGGTGATTTTAACCTGCCTGACGTATCATGGTCAGTATTAGATGATGCAAATTTCTTAACTCCCTCTTCTGTCTGTCAATTTTTTGATGGTATGCTTGATATACCTCTTTTTCAAGTAAATGCTGTGTTAAACTCGTCAAAGGAACTTCTAGACCTTGTTTTCGTAAATGATGTGTCAAATATGGTTTTAAACAGAACACTGCCGTTATGCCTTCCCGAATATGTTCACCATACATCATTAGAGTTGTTTGTTAATATTGACACGATAATAATAATAATAACACGATGCAGACTTGATTTTACTCAAGACCCAAAGCAATTTTATAGTTTTATTAACTCAAAAAGAAATGAAACTGGGTTTCCGTCAATGTTGTCTTTTAAAAGATTTTTTGTTAACACAAATGCTGGTATTGCTGACCATTTTTCCACTTTTTTCCAAGATACAAAAAAAAAATGGTTTCTCGTTTCCCACTTTCAGGATTCACTTTTAATGCAATATTCTTGAGGCTAACTGCATATTCATGCCTGTTGTTGATGAACCTTCCTTTTTGTCAAACCTTCAAACACTTAAGCAAAGTTTTGCACCCGCTCCGCTGGTATACCAAGCTGCGTTTTCAAATTCTGTGCGTGTTCCTAAGTAAACCACTTTTCAAGCTTTTCTCCTAGTCACCTGACAGTTGCTGCTTTCCCGATATCTGAAAAGCTTTTACATCTACCTCTCTTCAAAAAAGAATCTCAATCTAATATTGAAAATTACAGAGGAATTGGAAAACTTACAGTTATCCCTAAGCTTCTGGAAAAACTGATGACCACCCAGTTACAACATCATTGCAGGTCCATAATCTTATTGTATGGATATCTAGTTATTTGTTTGGCAGAACACAACGTGTAATTTTTAACGGCGTACTGCCAAAAGCTATCAAAGTAACTTCGGGATCCCACAGGGTAGCCATTAAGGCCCTCTACTGTTTAGTCTTCTTATAAATGACCTTCCATCATCCATAACTCAATCTCGTGTCCTAATTCTTATAATGATGTTCAGTTTTATGAATATTTACAGTTTGATCTCCAATTGTGGTGTTCCCGGAGTCTGTTCAACCTAAATTTTGTTAAATGTAAGCTAATGACGTTCCATCGATGCAAGCCTTACTTCGTTTCATATTATTTAAATAACATTCGTTTAAAATGGATTTAGACTGTTAGCGACTTAGGGGTACTGTTTGATGCTAAACTTTGTTTTAACGATCAAATCTCCACCATTATCAATAAAGCAAAGGGCACTCTAGGTTTTATTAAACGTTGGGCGAAGGAATTTAAGGACCTCTACACTACTCGAGTTTTGTTCAATTAAATCACGCATACTTTATTTCTTAAGGTCTGAATAATATTTTTTGTTGCTCTTTAAAATCGTACCTTTTTAAAAATTATTGTAATTCTATTTAATTTGAATTATTTTTTCTATTGTTTTTATTTGTAATATCTGAATGTATATCCCGTATGTTTTTATATTATGTTATGTTTTATTTTTATGATATTGACAGATATTTGTCAGAAATAAATAAATAAATATGATTATATTATATACATACATACATACACCATACCTTGCACAAATTAACACATTATACACCCTCATAGACATAATTATTAACAAAACCTCGAGGAAAAACAAACAACAATAATTAAAAAAGCGATAATCTAGTTCTTAAAATCAAAAACAAAATTTTGAAGTTATTTTATTTCTATTCTATTTCTATTTATTTCGTTATTTGGTAAAGGTTTGTTACATCTGCTGCATACATACAAGTATAGAGTTTTGTTGTTGCTTGCACCGCTAGCAGCGCCAAGAATTTTGCCGCTCACTTGCGCGCTCCTTTTTTGGGCTACACTTGCCACAGGGCCAACAAACTTCCCCCCGTTAGCCGTTCGGATTAGCGTTGCTTACAAGCGTGCTTGCGATAATCGTCGCTTATTTTCTGAGTACAGCTGAGACAATAAATCTGCTTGCAATTTTCTTTGTTGTTTGTATGATCATATGGACTGCAATTTTGCTTGCGTGCATACTGCATTGAGTGCGTATGTATGAGCATATCAGTTTGTCTCTTGCTGTTTTAGTGCGCTGTTGTTTGCGACGGCTGTTAGGTTAGTTCTGGTTTCATTTTCATTGATTTGCATTTGATAAGCAAGTTGCTTAGAGTTTTTATTAAATTAGTGCAATGCCTACAGAAATGTGATAAGGTTAGCGCTGATATTGTTCGTATGAAAACAGCTTTTCAGTTAAAGACAATGTCGTTTGAACAAACAGAAGTCGAGTGTCGTCTCGAGCTGTTGGATACAGGCGTTTCGGTCAGATTTGGATATTCTCAATCAAAGTAACGATAGTAGAGGGCCACTTGAGGTTTTGTGCATTCAACTAAGGTGTTGTACGTTAAGGCAACGAAACAAAAAGTTGAAAGCCAGACATCTCATGACTGTTCCATGATGGCGAGTCACCGATCACAGTTACCCAAAATGCAGCTGCTACATTCAGTAGAAAGCGTTCCGCATTTATGAATTTTATGTGCTTATTCGAATGTCTAGTACATGATGATCCTTGTTTGACCAACGTCGAAAAATTAAATCATTTGGTGTCGTGCTTGTCAGGTGAGGTTCTAGGAGTTGTGAAACCGTACCAGTTAACGGATTGCAACTACTCGAAAGCTATTGCTATCCTCAAGTCTGTGTACGATAATAAATGTTTGATATTTTTCGACACTATCTCGCAATTGACATCCCAAGTAAACCATCTGCGTCTAGTTTGCGGTCCATCATTGACACTTTTTCTGCCATTTATGCGTCTTTAACTTCGTTGGGGAGTGAAAAGGATATTTCGAACGCAATGATCATTCATATTGCCATGGCCACAGTCGATCACGGTTTGAAAAACAGCTCGATTATGACGAGTTGCCTTCTTGTGATGATTGCGCTAAGCAGTACCAGCAGCAAATACCAATATTTACAAGTTGAAGAGACAACTCGCAAGTAAAAAAGCTAAAGTCGGGTGTCCCGACTTTGAAATACTCTATACATATGTTTAGAATAATTATAGACATTAAAATAATTAAGAAAATTTAAAAAAAATTTGATTGATTTTACCTCTCTCGGTATTCGAACTCACGTAAAGGGTGTATAATTGCTCATATACAAAACAATTGCGTCTATGTGAGTGTATGTATGTTTATGCGCGTCTATTCGTGCCTATGTAAGCATGTTTGCAGTCAACCAAAACATCAGCATAAACAGCTGCGGGCAGCGCTTGGGCAGCAAATATACTTATGGCTATAACTTCCTGTTAAATCACATAAGTCATCTTGGAGTAAAATTTGGTGTTCCTAAGTCTTATAGTCTCCGAGATATAGGCGATTATACGAAAGGAAAATCGGGAAAACCTCCATAGGGGGAAGTGGGGAGGAAAAAAAATAAATAAAACAAACTCGTATAGCGTACACATATAAGGAATCTTTGTGCATTTGGTGTCTCTATCTCGTACAGTCTCTGAAATGCAGGTGTTCATACGGACGGACGGACTAGACAGACAGACAGACATAGATCGACTCGTCTTGTCATGCTGATCAAGAATATATACACTTTGTGGGGTTTGCCACGCCTCCTTCTGCCTGTTACATTTTTCAGCTCCCGCAAACCTAATATAATCTTGTACATTTCATGTACAGAGTATAATAAACCGCGAGCCGAACCCGCAAGAAACAGTAAAGCTTCGTTTTCTTGTACAAAGGGTCCTTCAAAGCCTTCAAAACCGATTTCGAAATGCACATATTGTAGTTCTGAGGATCACAATATTTATTCCTGCCCTTCTTTCGGATCTCTTCCCGTTATGCAGCGATTTGAGTTTCCTAAGACTCAAAAAATGTGCCTCAATTGCTTGAATGTGGGTCATATAGTTTCCAGTTCCAAAGCTTCCAAGTGCCGGGTGAGTTTAAAGGCACACCATTCGTTGTTGCACAGATATTCTGTAGCTGTGGCAAACTCTCCCGTTCCACAAGCAGTCGCACCTTCAGAAGCATATTTAGGTCATGTCTTAAGTGCCGATCAAGTAATTCTTGCCACAGTATTGATAAATATTAGAGATAGATTCGGCCAATACCATCCTGCTCGTGTGTTGCTTGATTGCGGCTCTCAGTTGAATCTCAGAACCTTGCTCAGCGCTTGCGATTAAAACGTGAAGACACTGCTGTAAGTATTGCAATGGCAGGGGACCACAACTGATAGTAAGCACAAGGTGTGTACTACTATTCAATCTCGTTTGAATGCACACAACTTTGCCACTGGTTTTTGGGTTCTTAAATCCATATCCCCTTGTCAGCCTTGAAACTTTTTGCTCACAATGAGTTGGAAAATACCCTAAATCTCGAGTTGGCCCAGAGTTTTACAAAAAAGCAAAAGTTCTTTCTTCTAGGCGCTGAATTCTTTTACGACTTGTTGTGCGTAGGGCAAATCGAGCTCAATTCTAGTCTTCCATTGTTGCAGAAGACCTTGCTGGGATGGGTTGTAGCTGATAGGTATATAGGGCAAATACCTCGTCAACAACTTAGTTTTAACGTTGCCGCTCAAGTTAATGATTGTTCTCTCGACACCTTAGTTCAACACTTTTGGGAACTCGATCGGAGCCCAAATGAGTC